TAATCGGAAACTTTCAAATGGAATTCGTGACATATTTAGTATAGCGTGCATGTTGCTATTATGTGCAATAGATGGCGCTGTTTTTTAAAAATGCATGTTTTTACCTGTCACAGAGGTGGCATCAATATAGGAGGTATATAAAAAGATGCTCATATTCGAATGGAACGTTGCGTCTAAATTTCAAAGGAATCGATGAAGAGCTTTGGGAGATTACAGTGTGTGTGTTGCTCTTACATGCAATTGATGGCGATGTTTTAATAAAAAAACATGTTTTCTACGGTCACAGGTAAGGCATGTATATAGTAAGTGTATAGAAACACGCGCCTTTTCGAATGCAAGGTCGTGTCAAAATTTCAAAGCAATCGGTAAAGAGGTTTCGAAGATTTCTCTCACATGAAAAACACAGTTTTTCAAAAATAGCGTGTTTTTTTCCGTCATAGACGTGACATCAATATAATATGTATATAAAAACCTGCTCGGATGCGAATGGAACATTATATGAAAATTTCAACGCAATCGGTGAAGAACATTCGGAGATTAGCGATTTTGAACAAACGAACATTTCCATTTATATTTATATAGATATGCAAACAAGCTTGAATGGTCCTCAAGCCAATATGCAACTGAAAACTCCATACCCGAGAAGAATTCGAACCCAGACAGCCAGAAGCACTATGCGCCATTGCGTACCTGCTTCCTTAACCACTCGATCACCGAAACGGCACAAAATTCATTGCTAGCCGAGTCAATATTCCCAACGACCCGACAGCACTTGGTGGTAAACTTGGGCATAGATATTTCATCGAATCACCTCACTTTGTGGAGCCACGTGAGCAACATAAATAAACAACACAACACATTTGTGTTGCTCACGTGACCCCATAAAGTGAGGTGATTCGATGAAATATCTATGCCCAAGATTAACACTAAGTGCCGTCGGGTGATTTGGGATATAGCCTCGGCTACCAATGACTTTTGTCCAGTCACGGTGGCCAAGTAGTTGAGGAACCAGGTACGCCATGGTGCATAGTGCTCCTGGCTCTCTGGGTTTGAATTCTTCTGAAGTGTGGCGTTTTTTAATCCTCCCAGTTTCCGTATATATATATATATATATATATATATATATATATATATATATATATATATATATATATATATATATATATATATATTAAATATGACCGAAAAATTAAGATTAATAATTCTAACACGAATTTTCTCGATCTTTCGTACATTTCTTTTCACTGTTGGTGGTAATTCAAAATCAATTCTCCAAAATTCATTTTTATTTCTAGTCTGACGCGACACTTGAGCGCGTTTCGTAAAACTTATTACATTTTCAAAGAGTTTAGTTTACACATACACAACTGAATAGAACTTATACATCTCCGATTTGTTTATATCTACATTTGAGTGAGGTGGATGGGGTGAGGTGGTATTAATAGGGTATTAAATTCATCAACACAAGACAGAACACGAAACAATGGGTATTGAATGGAAGTGATTGTAGAAAGCCTATTGGTCCATATTTCTTGATGCTTCTATATTGGAGCAGAGTCTTGAGGTGGGTAGAATATAGTTGTGCATTAATTGGCTGTTGATTGCTGGTGTGGACTTTTTAATATGTAGTGCCTCGCAAACGTCAAGCCGCCTGCTATCGCTGTATCTATCGATGATTTCTGTGTTATTTACTAGGATTTCTCTGGCGATGGTTTGGTTGTGGGAAGAGACTATATGTTCCTTAATGGAGCCCTGTTGCTTATGCATCGTTAAACGCCTAGAAAGAGATGTTGTTGTCTTGCCTATATACTGGGTTTTTTGGAGCTTACAGTCCCCAAGAGGGCATTTCAAGGCATAGACGACGTTGGTCTCTTTTAAAGCGTTCTGCTTTGTGTCTGGAGAGTTTCTCATGAGTAGGCTGGCCGTTTTTCTGGTTTTATAGTAAATCGTCAGTTGTATCCTCTGATTTTTGTCTGTAGGGATAACATTTCTATTAACAATATCTTTCAGGATCCTTTCCTCCGTTTTATGAGCTGTACAAAAAGAAGTTCCTGTAAAATAGTCTAATAGGGGGTATAGGTGTTGTGTTAGTTGTCTCTTCAGAGGTTGCATGGCGTTTCACTTTCCTTCTTATGATGTCTTCGACGAAACCATTGGAGAAGCCGTTGTTGACTAGGACCTGCCTTACCCTACAGAGTTCTTCGTCGACTTGCTTCCATTCTGAGCTGTGGCTGAGAGCACGGTCGACATATGCGTTAACAACACTCCTCTTGTACCTGTCTGGGCAGTCGCTGTTGGCATTTAGGCACATTCCTATGTTCGTTTCCTTAGTGTAGACTGCAGTGTGGAAACCTCCGTTCTTTTCCATGACTGTTACATCTAGAAAGGGCAGCTTCTCATCCTTTTCCATCTCGTAAGTGAAACGCAGCACGGAACTCTGCTCAAATGCCTCCTTCAGCTCCTGCAGATGTCTGACATCAGGTACCTGTGTAAAAATGTCGTCAACATACCTGCAGTATATGGCCGGTTTCAAGTTCATGTTGACTAAGACTTTTTGCTCGATGGTACCCATGTAGAAGTTTGCAAACAGTACACCTAGAGGAGAACCCATGGCGACCCCATCTACTTGCTTATACATGTGCCCATCCGGGCTCAAGAAGGGTGCCTCTTTAGTACAAGCTTGGAGTAGTTTCCTTAGAATATTTTCTGGTATGTCAAGAGGAGTACAGGCTGGATCATGATACACTCTGTCGGCTATCATCCCGATTGTCTCGTCCACAGGTACGTTGGTAAACAGTGATTCTACGTCCAACGAGGCTATTATCCCTGTGGCCCGTGTGCCCCGCAGTAAGTCAACAAATTCCTTTGGAGACTTCAGGCTGAAGGCGCAGGGGACATAAGGAGTCAGCAGGCCGTTGAGTCGCTTCGCCAGTCTGTACGTGGGTGTGGGTATCTGGCTAATGATTGGCCGAAGTGGGTTTAAAGAAACAAATGGGAATCATTTGTTTCTTTAATACGTCTCAGATTAACTTTCTTAAAACAGCCTTTTGATATTGCACTGGCAAAGTAAATTTGGTTAAAATTATTGTTTTTAATATCTGATAACATTCTTAAATTGGTTTCTAATCCACACTAAGAACTACATATTCAGATCACATCCTCATATGCGATAACAGAAAAATGAAATCAATGGAAGTTTTAACAATCGATAAATAAACTTGGATTCCATTAACTTGGATAAACTCAGATAGTGCAGGTTGGCTCAGAGCCCTACATGATGTCTAGCCATGGGCCCTTAGTGACACGTAGAGTCTTCACTGGTGCTGGCCTCCCTCCTCCTGTTCCGACAAGACTTGGGAATTAGAAGGCGTAGTCTGCATTCTCAGACGGTCTGGAATGGGATGTGCTTGAATCAGTAAGTAGTGTCGGCACAGTCGCTCCTGTAGATAATCATGTCGTAAAGTTGTGGGGTAATATTACCTCCTCGAGTGGTTCAGCCACAAGTAGACGTCTTGGGGGATGATCACAGCGCTTGAAGTCTAATCGATCCCGCTAGACGCTGGGAACCTCCCCGCATATTGTCGCTCGGCAAGCGCCTTCAAGCACTGCGAACGTCGATATGCTGGGTGTTTTGGCTCACCCCCAGCAGTGACAACTGTCCCCAGCTGTGGTCCCCCAGCAGTGACTGTCCTCCCCGGCTGCGTTCCCCCAACAGTGACTGTCCTCCCAGGCTGTGGTCCCCCAACAGTGACTGTTCTCCCAGGCTGTGGTCTTCCAACAGTGACTGTCCTCCCCCCGGCTGTGGTCCCTCAGCAGTGACTGTCCTCCATAACTGTGGTCCCCCCAGCAACGACTGTCCTCCCTGGCTGTGGTCCCCCATCAGTGACTTTCCTCCCAGGCTGTGGTCCCCCAACAGTGATTGTCCTCTCCCGACTGTGGTCCCTCAGCAGTGACTGTCCTCCATAACTGTGGTCCCCCATTAGTGACTGTCCTCCCTGGCTGTGTTCCCCTCCCCCACCCCAGCAGTGACTTTTTGGAGGTTGGAAACATGGTTTCCTGTATGTAGGGCTGCTACTGCTGTGAGGCGAGAAATGTGTTTTGTTGTTGTGTCTGCGTGCTGCAGCAGACCGTTCTCAGTGCAAACTTTGCACTGTGAGCGGTCTGTGGTACAGGGTGGACATAACATGTTATTGCAGAGTGGGTTTGAGAGGGAGAAGATTGGAAACAAAGGGAAGGAGAAGGGAGGAGATGGGAAGTGAGGGAGAATAGGTATAGATAAATAAGAAAATGGGGAAATTAGGAGAGAGAGACATCGGGCGAAGTTGGATACCCTGTGTAGTAGTTAATAGTTAGTATTTATAACTAGTAAACAAGTTGATCCATTTAAATGTCCCAAATTCATTTCAGTCAAATTAAGTAATAAAAATAATAATATTTTTTATATTTAATCAATATTGTCAGCATCTTTTTAGTAACATTAGTTTACCTATAATAATTTTGTCTAAATATTATAATTTTTGCTCAATTTTTTTTTATTATTTCTGGAAATGTAACTTCACAAAACATAGTTGCAACAACATCAAGGAATTACACAAAACGCAAATGTTTCTTAAGACTTCTCTATAATTTCTATCTACATGAAACAGCAACACACCGGCCTCACATGCTGTTAGGGATAATTACAGGTAGTAACAATGAGGAGCGCTGAAGATAAACGATAATTGGATACAAGTGAGACTTTTAAAACTGTACACATTTAGTGAGGCAATTATCAGTCCTAAATTAAGGTCTCAGATGAACACTAATAGTACTTTATTAAAGGGTTTACCTGCCTGGAATATCAGAGGTAAACAGCAAGTGGCGATATATACGGGTTATGGTAGTGATAAATTGGCAGTTACCGTGGCGTTAAAGACAGGTTGGAGAGGCACGAGGGTAGTTTAGTAACCAAGTGGCCCGAAGTCTGCCCGAAAACTTGCTTCAGTTTGATGGTCCTTGATTCACTGAAGTTTTCTTATGCTGGGCGTGGCTTCTGAAGGTGGTGGGCGTGGCTTCTGAAGGTGGTAGGCGTGGCTTCTGAAGGTGGTGGGCGTGGGTTCTGACGGTGGTGGGCGTGGCTTCTGAAGGTGGTGGGCGTTGCTTCTGAAGGTGGTGGACGTGGTTTCTGAAGGTGGTGGGCGTGGCTTCTGACGGTGGTGGGCGTGGCTTCTGACGGTGGTGGGCGTGGCTTTTGAAGGTGGTGGGCGTGGCTTCTGAAGGTGGTGGGCGTGGCTTCTGAAGGTGGTGGGCGTGGCTTCTGAAGGTGGTGGGCGTGGCTTCTGACGGTGGTGGGCGTGGCTTTTGAAAATTGCTCTATGAATCATGCACACTACAGGCGGTCACGCTGTCACTCACGAGGTTGTCACTCATGAGGGTGTCACACTGTCACTCACGAGAGTGTCACATTGTCACTCACGAGGGTGTCACCCTGTCACTCACGAGGTTGTCACTCATGAGGGTGTCACACTGTCACTCACGAGGGTGTCACACTGTCACTCATGAGGGTGTCACACTGTCACTCATGAGGGTGTCACACTGTCACTCACGAGGGTGTCTCACTGTCACTCACGAGGGTGTCACACTGTCACTCACGAGGGTGTCTCACTGTCACTCACGAGGGTGTCACACTGTCACTCACGTGGGTGTCACACTGTCACTCACGAGAGTGTCACACTGTCACTCATGAGGGTGTCACGCTGTCACTCACGAGGGTGTCACACTGTTACTCACGTGGGTGTCACCCTGTCACTCACGTGGGTGTCACACTGTCACTCACGAGGGTGAGGGGTGTTCGGAAGGTTACCCGATGTCTTATAGGAAAGATCATCTTGCTGGAGCACCCTGGAGAGAAGCGACCCAACGCATGCATAATGTATCCCACTGTGAAGATGGGGAGGCGGTCACCACCCTTGAGACGATGGTCTGCTGGTCTCCCTCTGGCAGCGGGGTGTCTGGGGTATGGCAAGTATGGCACGGGCCCTCTGGCAGCGGGGTGTCTAGGGTATGGCAAGTATGGCATAGGCCCTCTGGCAGCGGGGTGTCTGGGGTATGGCAAGTATGGCATAGGCCCTCTGGCAGCAGGGTGTCTAGGGTATGGCAAGTATGGCATAGGCCCTCTGGCAGCGGGGTGTCTGGGGTATGGCAAGTATGGCATAGGCCCTCTGGCAGCAGGGTGTCTAGGGTATGGCAAGTATGGCATAGGCCCTCTGGCACCAGGGTGTCTAGGGTATGGCACGGGCCCTCTGGCAGCGGGGTGTCTGGGGTATGGCATAGGTCCTCTGGCAGCGGGGTGTCTAGGGTATGGCAAGTATGGCACGGGCCCTCTGGCAGCGGGGTATCTAGGGTATGGCAAGTATGGCACGGGCCCTCTGGCAGCGGGGTGTCTAGGGTATGGCACGTATGGCATAGGCCCACTGGCAGCGGGGTGTCTAGGGTATGGCAAGTATGGCATAGGCCCTCTGGCAGCAGGGTGTCTAGGGTATGGCACGGGCCCTCTGGCAGCGGGGTGTCTAGGGTATGGCAAGTATGGCACGGGCCCTCTGGCAGCGGGGTGTCTAGGGTATGGCAAGTATGGCATAGGCCCTCTGGCAGCGGGGTGTCTGGGGTATGGCAAGTATGGCATAGGCCCTCTGGCAGCGGGGTGTCTAGGGTATGGCAAGTATGGCACGGGCCCTCTGGCAGCGGGGTGTCTAGGGTATGGCAAGTATGGCATAGGCCCTCTGGCAGCAGGGTGTCTAGGGTATGGCACGGGCCCTCTGGCAGCGGGGTGTGTAGGGTATGGCAAGTATGGCACGGGCCCTCTGGCAGCGGGGTGTCTAGGGTATGGCAAGTATGGCATAGGCCCTCTGGCAGCGGGGTGTCTGGGGTATGGCAAGTATGGCATAGGCCCTCTGGCAGCGGGGTGTCTAGGGTATGGCACTGGCCCTCTGGCAGCGGGGTGTCTGGGGTATGGCAAGTATGGCACGGGCCCTCTGGCAGCCGGGTGTCTAGGGTATGGCAGGGGCCCTCTTCCAGCGGGGTGTTTAGGGTATGGCAAGTATGGCACGGGCCCTTTGGCAGCGGGGTGTCTAGGGTATGGCAAGTATGACACGGGCCCTCTGGCAGCGGGGTGTCTAGGGTATGGCAAGTATGGCACGGGCCCTCTGGCAGCGGGGTGTCTAGGGTATGGCACGGGCCCTCTGGCAGCGGGGTGTCTAGGGTATGGCAAGTATGGCATAGGCCCTCTGGCAGCCGGGTGTCTAGGGTATGGCAAGTATGGCACGGGCCCTCTGGCAGCCGGGTGTCTAGGGTATGGCAAGTAAGGCACGGGCCCTCTGGCAGCGGGGTGTCTAGGGTATGGCAAGTATGGCACGGGCCCTCTGGCAGCCGGGTGTCTAGGGTATGGCAAGTATGACACGGGCCCTCTGGCAGCGGGGTGTCTAGGGTATGGCACGGGCCCTCTGGCAGCGGGGTGTCTAGGGTATGGCAAGTATGGCATAGGCCCTCTGGCAGCGGGGTGTCTGGGGTATGGCAAGTATGGCATAGGCCCTCTGGCAGCGGGGTGTCTGGGGTATGGCAAGTATGGCATAGGCCCTCTGGCAGCGGGGTGTCTAGGGTATGGCAAGTATGGCATGGGCTCTCTGGCAGCGGGGTGTCTAGGGTATGGCAAGTATGGCACAGGCCTTGGGCGCCCTTTGAAGGGGGTACCACTCACCACTTTATATTAAAGTCAGGTAAGCTGTCCTCGGATAGTAAAAAAAAAATCTTCAAAAGTATGATCTGTCTTTGATTATATTATTATAAGTATTTAAATTATTTATTTCCTTTTACTACATATAACAATATTAATAATATTGTATTGCGGCGCCGCCGCTGACAATAACGATATAAAGAATTTGTGCTGAAAATTGTACGCGAATTAAGTGCGAAAACAGTACGTCAATTGTAGAGGCGCATATGATGTTGATAACGATATAAAGAATTTGTGCAGCGGCTATATGAAGACATTTCAGATTCCAGAACGTTGCCTTCATGTCGGGCCAACGTGAAAATATAACGACTTAAATTGCTTATCGAATATATTGATCAGTACGGAGATAAGAGCGTCCTCCCTAATCTTCCCAGTGCTAATGAGATAATGCTTCCCTTCGCAGTTTCCATCGCCAGCTTTGAGAGACTATTCAGCTAGTTAATACTTTCGTATCTGAGCGCCTCCCTGGGTCAAGGCAGTCTCTGTAAACTTGCTCTACTAAGCAAGATCTTTCTACTAAGTTGCAGAAAGAAACCATACTGAAAAAACTGACTTTGACCACATAATAGCCCAATTTGCATTAGTGAAAGAGAGTAAGGGGTAGTTGCAATATTCACATTGTGTCACTAGGTAAATTAAAAGATTAACGAATCTTTTAGCTGATTTTATAATAAAGTTATCAGAGAGATGATGGGTGTCAGGTGTTGGATCACGGGCGAAATTTCAGTGTTTGTCAGAGGCGCTATTTTCCCTACATACGCCCCTGTTTGTTTACCCTTCACTATCCTGCCTCACCCCAGTCATCATATTGTGTCTGTCTACTCTTCACTATCCTGCCTCACCCAAGTCATCATATTGTATGTCTACCCTTCACTATCTTGCCCCACCCCAGTCATCATATTGTATGTCTACCCTTCACTATCTTGCCCCACCCCAGTCATCATACTGTATGTCTATCCTTCACTATCCTGCCTCACCCCAGTCATCATACTGAATGTCTACCCTTCACTATCCTGCCTCACTGGAGTCATCATATTGTATATCCTACCCATAATTATCCCTCCTCAACCCCAGTTATAATATTGTTTGAGTGGCTTCTGGTGCCAGTAGGGTGCTCTACACCTTTGTGTCATGGTAATCGCGGGGTCTTCCTGGTGTTAGGTGCGTCCTCTACACCCTAGAGACATGGACAAGACAGGCGGAACTCGGCTTACAGTAAAGAGCTCTCTACGGGAGCCAGCACTTGGTTAACTGCCGGGATATTCAATGGGAGACAAGGTACCTCCCACTGTCATTTACTGCAACTTTACACTCAGCATTTGGGTAAAAACTTACAAGTATCACGCTAAACAGATGTGTTGGTTCAAAGTCCTTCTTCAAGTTTTGCAGCGAAAGTCCTGAGGCCCTCATTACTGCAACAAGTGTCTGGTTTCAGGCTCTCGAAGCCTCGCTGCGGCTGGCGAGCCAATGATAGCCATGACACTGAGACATGCTCACGTTCCATCGTGTATCTGTTGTCAGCCAGGCGAACGGAGGGGGGAGGGATGTATCTCCAGGAGTGCGGGATGCTCTTTGCTAAACGTCGATACGTGGGGGACAAGTGCCTTTCCCGAGGTCCCTTTGTTGCTTTTAATGAGTCTCAGTTTAACTAGCTATTTTTAAACCCGATTTGATTTTACACTACCAAAGTAAATACGGTTAAAAGATTATTTTTAATATCTTTAAACATTCGTAAAACAGTTTCTAATCTAGTTAGAACTAGATATTTTGATCACATCTCCAGATGCGATAACAGAAAAATGAAAACGAAAGTAATGTTAACAATCGTTAAATAGAACTAGAAATCCCTTAATTTGGATGAACTCAGTGCAGGTTTGCTCTGAGCCCGACATGATGTCCGTCCGTGAGCCCTTGGAGACACGTAGAGTCTTCACAGGTGCTGGCCTCCCTCCTCCTGCTCCGACAAGACAAGGGAATTAGTAGGCGTAGTCTGCATTCTCAGACGGTCTGGAATGGGATGTGCTTGAATCAGTAAGTAGTGGCGGCACAGTCGCTCCTGTAGATGATCATGTCGTAAAGTTTGGGGTAATATTACCTCCTCGAGTGGTTCAGCCACAAGTAGACGTCTTGGGGGATGATCACAGCGCTTGAAGTCTAATCGATCCCGCTAGACGCTGGGAACCTCCCAGCATATTGTCGCTCGGCAAGCGCCTTCAAGCACTGCGAACGTCGATATGCTGGGTGTTTTGGCTCACCCCCAGCAGTGACAACTGTCCCCAGCTGTGGTCTCCCAGCAGTGACTGTCCTCCCCGGCTGCGTTCCCCCAACAGTGACACTCCTCCCAGGCTGTGGTCCCCCAACAGTGACAGTCCTCCCAGGCTGTGGTCCCCCAGCAGTGACAACTGTCCCCAGCTGTGGTCCCCCAGCAGTGACAACTGTCCCCAGCTGTGGTCCCCCAGCAGTGACAACTGTCCCCAGCTGTGGTCCCCCAGCAGTGACAACTGTCCCCAGCTGTGGTCCCCCACCAGTGACAACTGTCCCCAGCTGTGGTCCCCCAGCAGTGACAACTGTCCCCAGCTGTGGTCCCCCAGCAGTGACAACTGTCTGTTAAGATGCTTTACTGAGTGATTCTAGCAATAAAGGATCTCAGCACGCTCTCCAGATCAGCAATTTCTCCAGCTTTGAAAGGGGGGAAACATTCCGTACCACCGGAATGTTCGGTCAGTACCATGGTGTGGAAGGTCCGTACCACTAGGATGTTCGGTCAGTTCCATGGTGTGGAAGGTCCGTACCACTAGGATGTTCGGTCAGTTCCATGGTGTGGAAGGTCCGTACCTCTAGGATGTTCGGTCAGTGTCATGGCGTGGAAGGTCCGTACCTCTAGGATGTTCGGTCAGTGCCATGGCGTGGAAGGTCCGTACCTCTAGGATGTTCAGTCAGTGACCCGTACCACTAGGATGTTCGGTCAGTACCATGGTGTGGAAGGTCCGTACCACTAGGATGTTCGGTCAGTACCATGGTGTGGAAGGTCCGTACCACTAGGATGTTCAGTACCATGGTGTGGAAGGTCCGTACCATTAGGATGTTCGGTCAGTACCATGGTGTGGAAGGTCCGTACCACTAGGATGTTCGGTCAGTACCATGGTGTGGAAGGTCCGTACCACTAGGATGTTCGGTCAGTACCATGGTGTGGAAGGTCCGTACCACTAGGATGTTCGGTCAGTACCATGGTGTGGAAGGTCCGTACCACTAGGATGTTCGGTCAGTACCATGGTGGAAGGTCCGTACCACTAGGATGTTCGGTCAGTTCCATGGTGTGGAAAGTCCGTACCACTAGGATGTTCGGTCAGTGCCATGGTGTGGAAGGTCCGTACCACTAGGATGTTCGGTCAGTACCATGGTGTGGAAGGTCCGTACCACTAGGATGTTCGGTCAGTACCATGGCGTGGAAGGTCCGTACCACTAGGATGTTCGGTCAGTTCCATGGCGTGGAAGGTCCGTACCTCTAGGATGTTCGGTCAGTTCCATGGCGTGGAAGGTCCGTACCTCTAGGATGTTCGGTCAGTGCCATGGTGTGGAAAGTCCGTACCACTAGGATGTTCGGTCAGTACCATGGTGTGGAAGGTCCGTACCACTAGGATGTTCGGTCAGTTCCATGGCGTGGAAGGTCCGTACCACTAGGATGTTCGGTCAGTTCCATGGCGTGGAAGGTCCGTACCTCTGAGGATGTTCGGTCAGTGCCATGGTGTGGAAGGTCCGTACCTCTAGGATGTTCGGTCAGTGCCATGGCGTGGAAGGTCCGTACCTCTAGGATGTTCGGTCAGTGCCATGGTGTGGAAGGTCCGTACCTCTAGGATGTTCGGTCAGTGCCATGGCGTGGAAGGTCCGTACCTCTAGGATGTTCGGTCAGTACCATGGTGTGGAAGGTCCGTACCACTAGGATGTTCGGTCAGTACCATGGCGTGGAAGGTCCGTACCACTAGGATGTTCGGTCAGTGCCATGGTGTGGAAAGTCCGTACCACTAGGATGTTCGGTCAGTACCATGGTGTGGAAGGTCCGTACCACTAGGATGTTCGGTCAGTACCATGGTGTGGAAGGTCCGTACCTCTAGGATGTTCGGTCATTTCCATGGTGTGGAAGGTCCGTACCACTAGGATGTTCGGTCAGTACCATGGTGTGGAAGGTCCGTACCTCTAGGATGTTCGGTCAGTTCCATGGTGTGGAAGGTCCGTACCTCTAGGATGTTCGGTCAGTGCCATGGCGTGGAAGGTCCGTACCACTAGGATGTTCGGTCAGTGCCATGGCGTGGAAGGTCCGTACCACTAGGATGTTCGGTCAGTGCCATGGTGTGGAAGGTCCGTACCACTAGGATGTTCGGTCAGTGCCATGGTGTGGAAGGTCCGTACCTTTAGGATGTTCGGTCAGTGCCATGGTGTGGAAGGTCCGTACCAATTCAAACGAGCTCCGTATGAATTGCAACTTGATAAAGTCTTCACCCACGTACTTTACATACAAATAATCGCCAACAGAACGTAAACAGCTAACCTAACCTATGCCTAAATATATATAGA